ACAATATTCTTTATGTGGTCCTCAGGTGATAGTTTTCTATCTAGAACCACCCCTAGATCTCTTTCTTTATCAGAATTCTTTAAAGATTTCTCACATAATATATAGGTTGTATGGGGTCTATGTTCTCCTATTCCACATTCCATAACATGACATTTATTAACATTAAATTCCATTTGCCAGGTGGTGCTCCATATACTTATTTTGTCCAGGTCTTCTTGAAGGGCATGACAATCATCTAAATTTCTTATCCTTCCTATTATCTTAGCATCATCAGCAAACATGTTCATATAATTCTGTATACCAACTGGTAGATCATTTATGTACACAATAAACATCACTGGTGCAAGAACTGAACCCTGTGGTACTCCACTTGTGACATTTCTCCATTCCGATACATTGCCTCTGATTACTGCCCTCATTTTTCTATCAGTCAGAAAATTTTTCATCCATGATAGAAGCTTACCTGTCACCCTTCCAATATTTTCCAGTTTCCAGAACAATTTCTTATGTGGAACTCTGTCGAATGTGTGTGTGTGTGTGTGTGTGTGTGTGTGTGTGTGTGTGTGTGTGTGTGTGTGTGTAAGATATATGTAGTAGACATAATAGAGGAAAAATTAGTATCTTTTAGAACGGCGGGTTCCAAGAGCTAATAGCTCGATTCTGTAAATACATATAGTAAAAACGCTCGCTTACTCATTCACACACACACACACACACACACACACACACACACACACACACACACACACACACACACACACACACACACACACATACACACACATACACACACATACACACACATACACACACACACTCTCCACCCCACTCCACTCCACTCACTCTCTCTCTTCTCTCTCTCTTCTCTCTCTCTTCTCTCTCTCTCTTCTCTCTCTCTCTTCTCTCTCTTCTCTCTTCTCTCTCTCTCTCTCTCTCTCTCTCTCTCTCTCTCTCTCTCTCTCTCTCTCTCTTCTCTCTCTCTCTTCTCTCTCTCTCTCTCTCTCTCTCTCTTCTCTCTCTCTCTTCTCTCTCTCTCTTCTCTCTCTCTCTCTCTCTCTCTCTCTCTTCTCTCTCTCTCTTCTCTCTCTCTCTCTTAAATAAATAAATATAAATAAATATGTTTATTCAGGTAAGGTATATACATACAAGTAATGTTACATTAATGGATTGATATATAGATAGAGCTAGTACATACAATGCCTAAAGCCACTATTACGCAATGCGTTTCGGGCAAGAAAAACAGTAATATCTAGAACTTAATACTAATTGAGCATAAAGAATAAAAAGTGTTGAGAACAAATACAAAAATAAAGAAAAAAAAAAAGGGGGAACATGACTGAAAAAGCAGCACAAATACAATAGGTTGACAAACAGTGTTGATAAAAAAAGAAAATAACAGACATGGGTTGACAATAGAGGAG